GGAAGCCTTTGGAAGAGGAAAAGTCTATCACTGCCATGTTAATTTTCTTTGTCAGGTAGCAAGCTGAAATTAAAAAAAAGGTGGGAACAGCCAACATCTTACGTTTCCTGTTTCAACAGTGATCAACTTGAAGTCTTGTAACCTATCCATGAATAGCAGGACAAAATTGGAACTCAGTAAGAACAAAGTGTGCAGTTCAGAAAAGCTTTTCATTGGAAATATATTACAATGACTTTTCAGCAGACAGAATAATTACACATTACAAAGAATTGAGCAATAAAACCCATAAACCTTTTACCTGTAAATGTGGAGGTCCCATAGGAGGAGGAATTCCTCCAGGTGGTGGCATCGGAGGCATATTTGGATCAAATGGAGGACGTCCAAAAGGAGGTCGAGGTGGTGGAGGTGGGCCTCTCATCATACCAAAAGGTGGTGGAGGACGCATAAGAGGTGGTGGGCCTCTCATAACAGTGTTTGGCGGAGGAGCCGGACCACGAAATCTCAGTGCTTGTTGTTGAGCCATTCTGTCAGCAAAACCAAAAGAACAAAAACTTGCTTATCATCAAAAGCATTGCTGTTATGCATGTAATGAAATAAACTCACAGAAATTCTCAAAAATAATACTGAGACACCAAACTTTTGGGGAGGCTTTGTTTTCACCTTTTAAATTACTATGAACCAGTAGTTAGCAGGAATTACTTAGAATGAAAAGACACAATGCAAGTTTCCCTCCTAGTACCAAAGTATCTCAGACATGAGATAACAATCTCACACCCTTCCTACAGATATCTATGATTTCGAAATCAATTCTCATAGTACCAAGACACCCAACAATATCGTAACATGAATGGATGTGCAAAACATGGCTGCATGAGAATATCTACATTATTTTCACTTGTTAGTAGAGCAGAATTTGAGTACACTATACTAAACCCACTATGCAACCTAGCCTTCTATAAAGATACTTTAGTAAATGTGTCTGTGTGTTCAAAATTGAAAGCAAAGGTTATAAGGTAGTAAACAACAAAGACATATTTAATGCCTTCTCATTTTGAATTTGTCCAAATTCATATGCTTAAGAATGTAATTAATAGTAAATTCATAATTTGATATGAAAGATGAACATGTAAACATTTTATTATGCTTTTAACATTGGTGAAGCCAATGTAATAGCCTCTATCCATTTAAACTTCAAGCCCAAAAATTATAGCTAGAAATAGAAAATAAAAATGGGAAACAGCGCAATATCTGGTTTGTGGCATTTTAAAAATATCAGCAATGCTGATCTAACCTTTCCATCTGTCATCCACATGTCTCATTAGATCTCCTTATGAAGTATTTAATTATTTGCTTATAGATAAGTACAATTTGCTTACAGTAAATATAACCACCTTGAAATCTGATTGGGTTAGCTCTTCCAAAGAGTAAACGCATCTACAATCATAAAAGACAAACATTAAATGACATGAACTCTTTGAAAAGATAAGTTTAACTCCCGAACCAAAACTTGTACAAAAAGTTAGATTTTTCCTGTTTGTCATGCAGATACAGAATGGAAAAGTAAATTCTCTCATGACTACCAATTTTATACAAACTGGAGATGACCAGTGAAGCAAGTGTGTTCTGCAACTTCCTCTAAATCAATCATGCGGGTGGGGGTGTGTGTGGTGGGGGGGCGAAACAGACGGACAAATGACACGACAACATGACAGATTCAACAGAACATGTACCTTATTCTTTCCTATGTTTACACATATTTTCAGTTTAGTTTATAGTAGGCATTTAGAAAAACGTCTTCAGACTCAGAAGGGACAATGTAATCCCAAAGAATACAGCGCTTTCACAAAATAAAACCCTCCGTTACCTTTCTCCACCAAAATCTACACTGTTCACTGGACATAACCACTGCTCAAATTCTGGCATTAAGGCAAACAGTGTAAGCTAACCGTATCTTATATTGAAGGCTTTTAATTATTGGATACAATATTGCATGCTATAGTTATTGTAATAATGAACAAGATTTGGGCCAAATCTACCACAGCATAGTCTAGTTTTTTTCCCCTAATTTCTGATGTTTAATACAGGTAGTCCTTGACTTACAACTATTCATTTAACAACTGTTCTAAGTTATGTCCTTGAAAAAATGACTTACTCGCTTTTATGACCTGCATGTATGACTGTCTCAGCACCCCATGGTCATGTGATCATGAGGCAATCAGCTTGCATTTACAACTGGATAGTGTCTTGCAGCCATGCGGTTGCAATTTTTACTTTTTTTGCCGATTTCTGGGGGGAAAACCCCCAACCATTGGGAAAACCTGGATTTGTTTAATTGTGGGGATTTGCTTAATGACCCTGTAAAAATTGTCATAAAATTGGATCCAACTTGACTCACAACTGCAACAAACTACAATGGAAATTCTGCTCCAAACAGTAAGTTGAGAATTACCTGTAAGAACACTATTGTTTACTAATTCCAAATACTATATATAAACCTGGGTAATTGCAGTCTGCTACCATAAAATCTAAGGCTGCATTCATGTAAGACTTTATACCAGGTTATTTTGAGAATAAGTTTTTAAACTAAAGGCTTGGGCAAACTTTTTACTTAAAAAGTTTACTTTTTACTTATTTGCTGTTGTGTAACATCTTAACCACAGTTATCTTGTCGTCCAGATTCAAAATGTTGGGTTACTTTGATATAAACTGATTTCTAGCCACCAGACGCAGACTGGTGATGACCATAAATTGAATAAGTAAATATCTGAACACTTCCACCTACAAAGTTTTAGAGGCTAGAGTAACCATAAAAGGGACAATTCCAGCTATATTTGTTTCCACTCTTTTTCATTTTACCACCATGATGCACTGTTTTCAGTGCTCTCCATCATGATTAAATCTCCATGGACACTATTTAAAATGGTAACTGTTCACTTGTCACTCACAAAGATTTTTGGAATAGTGGCCAAAATGGCTGTTATAAGTCACATGATTTGTTGAACTGACAAATGCTATTCACTAGAAAAAAACCCAGACTCATCGGCATTGTAGGAAAGACATCCTAGGAGTTAAGATTTAACTATAATTTTAACAAAATTATGGGTGATTTTTTTTTTGGAAGAGGGACAATTCTCTTATCATAAAAGTATCCTGGTAAACTCTGGATAGCCTTTTTTTGCAGGGTACACTAATCATAACCCTATGATTATAGTCCTACATGTTAGTCCTACATGTTGAGCCCCCTCAATTGCATCTTAAAAAATGCAAAGGGCTTTATTACAATCCAATAATAACCGCACTCAAATATCTTCATGGTTAGTTTCATAATATACCATACTCTTTTCGGAAGAACATTTACTATATGGATGATTAAATATTTTCTAACAGAAACAATACATTCATTCTAATAAAGGGAGATTTAGTAATATTTTCTAATGGAAATCCCGGTTGCATTACCTTATCAGACTACCCTATAACTGGGTAACACGATTTGGTGTTATGTGGAGAAGCTGCAGCTTTCCCCAGCATGATCGACAAACACCCTTACCCAAGATCTCATTTACAAATGGGGAAAACGTGCTATAGCTACTTGATATATATATAGTCTCCCAATAGGCAGCAGAGTGTTTGCTGGCTGTGGGGGAAAAAAAGCCTAGAAACTAGTGGATTGTGATTTCACTGAACTAGGGCTGCATAAAAATCTTGGTTTACGTAGGAAGAACCTGGCTAAAGAGAAATACATATATATATAGACATATAGATGCCTATACATATACATTTTACTAATATACCTGGAACTCGTGTGTGTGTGTATGTATGTGTGTGTGTATGTGTATATATATATATATAAAATTCTTTTCGTAGGCCTTTATGTGTATTTATGTGTATACACACACATATATAATATATATATACTACCATAGTTCGACACAGACGACCCCTGACCATCTTATAATCGCCATCTGTGCAGTCTTCCTGTATCCATACCAACGTCTCGCTGCCTCCTGCTGAATGACCCCGGATCCAGTCAGTCTGCGGCTCCAAAGACTTGGGGAAAGTTTGGCGTCCGGCATTACCTCAGACTTCTGGGCTGAGCCCACCACCTAAACGCCTAATGCCGAAGCCACGTGCCAGGCTTCGGGGTTCAACCAGAGAGGGCGAGAACTCTCTCTCCCCCCCCCCCCCCCCCCGCCGCCCCCCCCCCCCCGCTTGCTTGACGAGGTTCTCGCGCCCAGAAGCAACACACACACCCCACCCCCACCCCGGGAATCCAGCCCTGAGGAGAGCACCAAACGCTCCGTCCCCGCAGCGTTTTCTCTTCCTCGAAGACACCTGATAGCCGTTAGAAACAAACAAACAAACAAAAAAAAAAGCCCACACCCAAACGGCACACTTTCGGGAGCGTCGGGAAAAGAACGAGGGGGTCCCTCCCAGGAGAGCAAACGTAGAGCAAATCCTCACCGGAGCTGAAGTGAAGACTGAAGAGGGGCGGGGAGGGGGGGGGGGAAGCTGAACGGCCGCTTCCGCCCCGCGCCAAAAGAGGGGGGGGGGGGGGGGGGGGCGAATGAACCACTGAGGAAACAGTGAAGCCGAAGAACGCTCGAGGTTTCGGCGCGTCGTGTGCGCAGGCGCGCGCAGGCGCGCGCTCTTAAAAGGCCTCGTGCTGCCGGCGACCGCTTGTTCCTCCCACCTTCCCGGTGTTCTGCGCGAAGTGATTCCAGCGGGAGATTTCTCCTTACCTTATTTCATTGTTGTACCGTTCCGCTACACCAGCATCACCTTCGCCGCCGCCAGGACCAACGCCGCCGCTACCACCACCTCCTCCGCCGCCGCCGCCTCCGCCTCGTTCCGCCATCACTAGCCGACTCTGGCTTTGTTCACGCCCACGGCCGCCAGGCCCATCTGTTCGCTAATGGCTACTAGGAACGTCGATCGTAGGACGAAAGGGCTCATCTTATCTCTGATTGGCCGTGGTCGCCGCCGATTTTGAATGAGAGGCGGAAAGCGCGCGATGACTGGCCATTTTTATTCCTAGACCGTCAGGAAGCGCCCCGTTGTGTGCGCCCTCTTGTGGACCGGTCAAGGTGGCGTCACGTGACCTGTAACCCGGAACAGGCCTTTTGAAAGAAAATATAGTGCTATACCAAAATCGCAGAGCTAGAAAATGAAGAAATGTTTTGTAATCCCGTATGTCCGAGGTTATATTGTAGCCCGATTTATTACCTTTTGAGGTCTTGCTTGATGTGAATCAATTATTATTTATTTTTAAGCGTGCCACCGTATTGCTAATTCCAATTTCAATACAGCCCGTCAGATTCACCCTACACATTCTAAGTGACGACATGCCACAATTTGCGACGTTTTAAGAAAAAATTCGGGTTTTTTTTTTTTTAGAAAAATCTAAAGGCATCCGTCTTTGTCACAGTCTTCGTATTAAAGTCTAGGGTTTTTTTTAAAATGGTTTTTAGATTTCTGCACGTGTTAAGGTGCAATTTTTAAAATTAATCTGCAATTTCACCTGTTTCTGGTGGATTTTTATTGGCGGGGCGATAATACTATACAAGCACAATACGCGTTTCAAATTATTTAAAACTATATTTAATGAGCTCGTTTAGAGATACGAAGAGCCTTTCTTTTCTTCCTTCCTGCTGTCTTGACCAACCCGACTACTTAATAGCTGGATAACCTTGGATTTTGCATTGGATTTCCGTTATAAAGAAAGGGGACAAAAGCGACTTAAGTAGCTTATGTATCCTACAAATCTTATGCTTCTGATAAAAAGGCGAGTTTTGCACCCATTTAAAGGACATCTCGGTATCAGCATAATACCAAATCACATACCAATTTAATGGACACATGGGAAGAGACGTTTGAGCTGCGGGATCCAATCCGCAATAGCGGAGTCACTCTTAGAGAAAAGGCGGTGGTGGAGTTGAGAGGGAAATTTTGATTTAAGCGAGTGTTTGTGTCGGACAGATTCAGTGTATTGTTTCAAGCCCCTGCTCTTTAAAAGGTACACAATAGAGCCTTTGGGGAAGGTATTCGGCGATAGCGGGAATCGCTTTTTCTGCAGCTTTGTTGAAGTTAAATATAGTGCGGGTTATTTAACTTTCAAAAACTATGGGGTTTTTTCCACCTTAAGCTGTTCGTTGCACTCCTACCCATGCCAAGAAACAAGATAGACGACATACAAATCTAATAAATAAAATAAAGCAAGTGCTGTACAATGTCAAACCCTTTCCATTCCATGGGCAGGATTTTAAGGAAGTGGTTTCCATTGGCCAATCTCTTCTACTGTATTGATTCCCGCTATTAGGAAAAATTGGCAAAATTTTAGTAAATTTATTTTTTTTAAATATTTTTTATAACAAAACAATGCTTAATCTTAAAAAGAAGGAAACCTAAAAAAATTAAAAATGCAAACTAAAAATACCATCTAAGGAAAAGGAAAAAAAATGTTTATCAATGGTCACTAGTTTACCAATAAATTCACTACTGTAATATGAACAACAGAAGACATAATTGTAAAATATCACAGAATCTATACTATAATACACCTTAAACCTTTGGTATAAAATATTGCCATTCCCAAAACAAATCATAGGTTGAAAACTTTCATCAATTTCAATGAAAAGGGAAAAAAAAGAAAAAATCACCTTTGTGTTTTATAATTGAAAATCTAAACAGCAAGAACAACGGCATAAAATCCACAGAAAATATCCATCAGTATGAAACAAACAAACAAAAAAAAACAGGCATTCACTAGTTGAGATAACTTCAAAAATATTGGCCCCATAGCAAGAAAAGATGGGAGAGATTACTTTCTAGTAGTCTGGGGTCAGGTAAAGGATGATGTACATTCCTGCCTCCAGAAATAGGTAATGGGTTACACTCAAACTGGAGAAACTTGATGGTGCAGATCAGATTTCCGTGTGTATAATTTGTGTTCCAAGATACTGTAAACCAGGACTAGGCAATTCACTAGTACCTCCCTTATGAAACCTACTTTATTATTTTCCTAAAATAACCAACCAACCAAATCAAACACAGGAAGCTAGCATTCTGCAAATTGAAAAATTGTAATCTTTATTTACACATAAATACGCCATAAGTATTCTTGGGAAATAACAATGATGGAGGGCTAAACCCCAGTGTTATGTTGAGAATGTACCAGCTCACCTGATAATCTAGCTGTTAGACTATAAACTTTTGCACTGGTCAGTATGTGCAGGCATAGTTAGTGAAATGGCTTCTTACCATCCCCTCTATGTTTCTGGACCAGTTCACGAAGAAAAAGGAAAAAGTAAGAAATTTCCAGGGGCGTAGTGGGGATGATAAGAAGCAATTTCACTAACTGCACATATTGAGCAGTGCAAAATTTGCAGCCTGTTGTAAACCTAATAGCTGTATTATCTTTACTGTGTTCCTTATATTACTTTTTCCCAAATTATGTACCGTGTTTCCCTGAAAATAAGACACTGTCTTATATTTTTTTGAACCCTGAAATAAGCGCTTGGACTTACTGCCATGTGCTCAAAAGCCCGATTAGGCTTATTATCAGGGGATGTCTTATTTTGGGGGAAACAGGGTATTTATTATGCTTATATAATTTCCAAATAATTCACATGAATAATTTCATGTTAGAATGGGGGGGGGAGGAAAGCCCTACCCTCCTTTTCTTAGAATATCCTATAGAAATTTTTCTTCCTCTGTCTTGATTTTTTCATTGTTAACCAGGATCATTTTCTAATAAACTTGTGTCTAGCATGGGTCTTCAGGCAAATCATATAATGCTTTTCTTCCATTCATTTGTGTCTGACTGGCTCTCATATAATAATATAAACAAGTTTATTGTTTATTTAATAAAAGTAAAAAATAATTCCCATCTATGTTATTCAAGGTCAGTCCTGTCAAAATAAAATTTTAAGCACAATATTTTTCTGCAGATTCGAATACATACTTTGTGTTCACATGTTGCTACTTTCAGGTTCAAAATAAGAAAATTGTGAATATGGCAAGTGCAGATATTTGACAATTTTTAATCAATATTTTGAAAGTATTCCTTTGGCCAGAATAACAGTTTCTGTATAATTTCTCTTGCCAATTAAGTTTTTTCCCCCTATTCTTGTGTTCGGAAAATATAAAATTCTTCAGTCATGTTCATTAAACAAATCAATTCTGGGTTATTACTTAAGGCACACATGAGTAGGCTCAAATTATAATACTTTGGACATATTATAAAGTGATACAGAAGTCCTTAATGCTGAAAGATAGGATGGTATCAGCAAGGTGGATGGACTTAATCGCAGAGATCAGGGGTTCATTCTTGGAAGATCTGAATAATCTGTAGGGGACAGATCATCCTGAAGTAAATGTACCTATTTGGCCACTAGGAGTCATACCAATTTGACAGCACAGAATCATTAATAATAATGGTCTTAACATAAACAGAACAAGCATACATTTAATTCAGGGGTTTGTCTAGTATTAGAATAATTTAGAATAATTTTATTTCTATACAGTCCTACTTAAATGTTCTCTCCTTGTTTTCAGCATGTTTGTTCCATCTCACCAAAATTATCCCAAATCCAGTTCTGTTTCTTCCTTTTCACTATGTATTTTATTTATTTGCTTGTGAGAGAGTTTTCTTTTAAAAATATGCTACATACTGTGAGAAGAATCCAAGTGGTATCATATGTCAGTTACACTAACTCCCAGCTGTTTGTTTATTAGTCCATATTTTTCCTAGCAACAATTCCAAGGAATACATTTCTCTATAACCCAGGTAAACGTCATAGTTTTATTATATAAACACAATTAAACTCTGACCCTCTGAAGCCATCCTTTTAATTCCTAGCACTTCCTTGGCTCTGCTACATTTTCTGAAATAAATTGCTCATTGGGTCAAGAAGTCAGGGCAATGGTGACCAAGTTGGAAAGCCCAGCTACACATCTGTAGAGCATTATCAGTTGGAGTTCTTACGTAAAGAAGGTAAAGAACTATCTTCCAATAATGAGTAAATCTTAAAAGTATGTACAACAAATTCTAGTAAATAACAATAGGCATCGTTGGAGGTAGTCAAATTAGTTTTACAAGAATTGAATCCCAGATGCAACGTGAATAAAAATTACAACTTCTATTTCATCATGTCTATAATTTTTTTATTAAACGGGTTTTATTTTCATTTATTTTCATTCTTCATTTTGGCCACTAGGAGATCCCCTTTATCAGCTTTAGCTATTATTCTATGAAGGCACATTTTTCATAGATGTAATAATGCAACCCTTGTTGGAAGTCCTTTACTTAATTCACCTGTCTCTCTTTGTGATTGTCCACTTGGAAGACTGCATTGAAAAAGACATTCATTTAGTTAAATCTGTTCTGATAGTCAAATCTCTTCAATTCTGCATCTAGGCTTTGGACAATTTTATTAGAAATCTGATGGCAAATTTCAGTCAGCCTTGTTTTTTTGGGGACTCCTTTGGTCCTTGGGAAGAAGAACATTTGTGTCTGGGCTAGCACCTGAATAACATATAATAATCCCTCTCTCATTTTCCATTAAACAGATATTTAGTATTAAGCAAGCTGAACTTGCTAATCACAAAGAGCTATGACCTATGTCCTATGACTTTCTGTCTCTCTTTCTCCCTCCCTCCTTGGTCGCTCTAAAGACTGCCACCACATCACAGCAAATGGCTGCGACTGCTTAACCAAGCCAAAAAGTTTGTTTTAAGTGGACTCATAACTCATTTTGGATTTTTGTAGGTAATTACAACAGATATTTCTTTTAAAAATTCTGAACTGAGTAATTTAGTTCTCATTCTTTCTATTCTTCCAGGTGGTGTGCCAGTCAATTGATTAAAACAGGAAAAGAATGCTTGCTTGTTAAGGAAACTCTGATTATGAACTGCATTCTCTCCTGTGCTTTTTAGCTTAGAAATATGATTGTTTCCCCCAAATATCCATGTTTTAAATGTTCTCTACTTGCATTTGGTAAGACACATGTACATATACTACACACAGCAATCCTATGTTTATGTTACTTGAAAATCCTATTGGATATATTTGGACATCTATATAGACTCATAACTTTACCATTGTTGTTACTGTAATGTACACTGTCACAAGACTCTAGGAAGGGAGACTGTTCACAGTCTCTCACACCACCACAATGATGGTGGGCATGATATTCTTGCTACTTAATTTAAAGATCTTTGTTCTGACTTCACTAGCAATAATAATCTGTTAACCCAATGTTGGAGTTAGCAGCTTTTTAAACTTATCACAGATTCATTGCTCTATTCAAGAGAAAGAAAAAAATATACTTTGAGATGCCATCAGAGTGGAACAAATAAAAACTTGTTCTTATGCTCTGTGCGCTGCATGATATAATAAATTTTCCTTGTAAAAATGTTTATTTCTGATTATAGCCCATTTAGTCTACCATTCACCATTCACTGATAGCCATTTAGAACTGAAATTCATCTCTCTGTGGCTCAATATTTAATTTTAATGGCTCTATTCTGTTTCTTGATCATAGTGTGGTAAAACAGAATGTTAGGAATTGAGAAATATCTCTACATCTGTATATCTGTATGCTTGCCAATTTGTGAATAACTGGAAGAGGCTAGCCGCTAGTATAAGCACACCAACAGAAGTCTATGGAAGTCAGAACCATAGATGATGTTATTCATTGTACCATCGTTTAGAATAGAATAGAATAGAATAGAATAGAATAGAATAGAATAGAATAGAATAGAATAGAATAGAATAGAATAGAATTCAATTCTTTATTAGCCAAAAGTGATTGGACACACAAGGAATTTGTCTTTGGTGTATATGCTCTCAGTGTACATAAGGAGAATAAAATACATTCATCGAGAATAAAAAGATACAACACTTAGTGATAGCCAAGGTTATTAATAAGCTATCAAATCGTACAAATAAACAAAAACAATATAAATTGAAAGATACAAGAAATATGGTTATAGTAATAAGTGGAAAGAGATACTAGTAAAGAAGAGAAGAAGAATAGTAATACAGTCTTAGTAAATTATTTGACAGTGTTGTGGGAATTAATTGTTAAGCAGAGTGATGGTATTCAGGAAATATGTTTTTTTTAAAATATTATGTTTTTCTAAATCACCATTTCTTTTGTTTAATCTAGATAAGTTGCCCACTTTTGCTCATGACTTTTGTGCAACTGCTATTTTTTTATTTTTTTAATTAGATTTTTATCCAGCCTTTATTACTTAAAGGTTACTCAAGGCGGTGGCCATACCTAATACTTCTGCCTCCTATTTTCCTCACAACAACAAACCTGTGAGATGCTTTATACATTATACCTGTAAAACAATATTAACACAGATTCTAGATGATGCAGGACAGGACGGGAGCAAATAATAAATCATCAAAAGATGTTCAAACAACTAAATAAGGGGATTATAAAGGAAAGATTTTGATAATAAAGAGATATATTTATAGGACAGAAACATTCAGCTACCTTGGGTTATTTTTTGCAGCATTTTTAAGGAACGTAGTAACCTAACCAGAGAGCTTTGGCTAATTGTATAGCTACAAAATTAATGAAAATTGTTTTGTGTGTGTTCTTACACAAGAACATCCTTTGATGTTACTAATGAATGAGTTCTTTTTAACTTGCTCTGATGGCTGATCCTCATGCTTTGGCTCCTGGGCAAAAGTTATCAGTAATGTGGGTTTGTAGAATGGCCCCCGGCATCAAATATTCATAGAGTCACAGATGGGAATCTACAAAGAGTTAGCAGAGAAATGGAACATATTCCCAACCATTCTGTGGTGATCACGTCAAAACTTCAAGAGGAACTACTGAGTTGTTGCTAGAAATATGTAGATTGATGACATCTGCATTTTTAGAAACATATAAGGCAGTGTGTTTGTCCACTGCTATTTCTAATGACAGTAAACCATGGTATGTCAGAAAAATTAGAAGTGGGGAAAACACAAAATAACTCATTATGTGACAATTATGGTCCTGCAGTGCAATCTTTTCCCTCGTTTATTTCATATGAAGAGGCGGTGGTGAGGCCTCTCCTCAAGAAGCCTTCCCTGGACCCGGCAATGTTGGTAAATTATCGTCCGGTCTCCAACCTTCGCTTTGTTGCGAAGGTGGTTGAGAGTGTGGTCGCGCAACAGCTCCCCCAGCACCTGGATGAAACGACGTATCTGGATCCGTTCCAGTCGGGCTTCAGGCCCGGGTACAGCACGGAAACGGCATTGGTTGCATTGATTGATGATCTCTGGAGGGCTCGGGACAGGGTGTGCTCCTCTGTCCTGGTCCTGTTAGATCTCTCAGCGGCTTTTGATACCATCGACCATGGTATCATGCTGCACCGGTTGGAAGAGTTGGGGGTGGGAGGCACTGTGTTGCGGTGGTTCTCCTCCTTTCTCTCTGACCGGTCGCAGTCTGTGTTGACAGGGGGACAGAGGTCGACCCCGAGGCCCCTCATATGTGGGGTGCCGCAAGGGTCGGTCCTCTCGCCTCTCCTGTTCAACATTTATGTGAAGCCGCTGGGCGAGATCATCCGTGGTTTCGGGGTGGAGTACCATCAGTACGCTGACGACACCCAGCTGTACATCTCCACCCCGGATCACCCCAACAATGCCCTTGAAGTGATGTCCCGGTGCCTGGAGGCCGTACGGATCTGGATGGGGAGGAACAGGCTCAGGCTCAACCCATCCAAGACTGAGTGGCTGTGGTTTCCGACGTCCCGATATAGTCAGTTGACGCCATCACTGACTATTGGGGGCGAATCATTGGCCCCCACGGAGAGGGCTCGCAACTTGGGCATCCTCCTGGATTCACGGCTGTCTTTAGAAGAGCACTTGACGGCCGTGACCGGGAGGATTTTTCATCAGGTTCGCCTGATTCACCAGTTGCGTCCCTTTCTGGATCGGGACTCGTTACGCACGGTCACTCATGCCCTTGTCACCTCCCGCCTGGACTATTGCAACGCTCTCTACATGGGGCTCCCCTTGAGGAGCACCCGGAGGCTCCAACTGGCGCAGAGTGCGGCCGCGCGGGTGGTAATGGGAGCGACATGGCGTTCCCATGTAACACCCCTCCTGCGCGAGCTGCACTGGCTCCCGGTGGTCTTCCGGGTGCGCTTCAAGGTTCTGGTTACCACCTTTAAAGCGCTCCATGGCTTAGGACCCGGGTACTTGCGGGACCGCCTACTACCACCAATAGCCTCCCACCGGCCGGTACGCTCCCATAGAGAGGGGCTCCTCCGGGTGCCGTCAGCCAAACAATGCCGACTGGCGGCCCCCAGGGGGAGAGCCTTCTCTGTGGGGGCACCTACTATCTGGAACGAGCTCCCCGCAGAGATACGGAGGATCCCGGATCTGCGCACCTTCCGCCGCGCCTTAAAGACCTTACTATTTCACCAGGCCGGCCTGGCCTAATTTCCCCCCTCTTTTATAAAAGATTTTTAAAATTTTAAATATCTTTTAGTATTTTATATATTCAATTTTAAATTGGTTTTAAAAGTTTGGGGTTTTAAATTTGTCAGGGCCAAAATTATTTAATTTGATTTTATTCTATTTTTAAATTTTGTATTGTATGTGTTTTTATTGTTTGGCTGTGCACCGCCCTGAGTCCTTCGGGAGTAGGGCGGTATAGAAATCTAATAAAATAAAATAAATAAATAAATAAATAAATATATCATCTCAGCTAAACCTCCCTGGGCTTATGGATCCTAAATATATATTAGTGTTAAGGGTTGTTACAGCAAAGCTCTACATTTATGTTCATGTAATGTAAGAAGGAACACTGTTTTGCAGGCTGTGGGCTAGATATAGATCTATAGATGTCCTTCAGAAAGTCGTGGGCAGCAAGATTAAAAATTATAATATAATTTACCTTTAAATTTGATAAAATTAAATAGTTAATATGATGACTCTCCATTTCATTATTTAATATTTTCAGTCCTGTCAGATTAAATATTACAAATTGATTATTCTTGGAAGTTCTGGGTGCTGAGCCCAAGGCTTTGGAGAGCCACATGCCTTCTTGGAACAATGCCTATGAATTGAACTATTGTGTGTTAATGGTATATTGAGATCATTTTGCAACTATAAAGGTGCCGCTCTAAGAAGTTTGTAGGAGTATTAAGTTGGAATTCTGTACTTATTCAAAAATTAGCCTTGTCCCCTGCAACAACAAAAATCCAGCGTGAAATATTAAAACCATTTAATTTCAGTTAATTTCAGTTAAATTCAGTTAATTTCAGCAGATAAGAAGATTCCCGTATAACTGTTTCCCCATCATCCTCTATTCTTTCTTCACAGTCATCATGGAGAAAACAATTGACTCAGGATTTGGTCATAGAAAGATAGAAAAATGACAGCCGAAAAAGACTTAGTGGGCCATGGAGTCTGCCCTTTGAGTTTGTTTTTTGTTTTCTTTATAGTTTCTTTATTATTTTCTTGTTTTCTTTATAGTTTCTTTATTATTTTTAATTGTTATTTTTATACTTGATTTTTAATTTTTGTTGGGTGATGGACATGTGTTTACCCTAAGCTTCTTTAAACTCAGTCATGTTAAATTAGTCTTGCACATTCTGTGCCATCACAAGCAGAAATCAATTCCTGTTGTATTTGTCTAATTTCCTGAAATCCAGCAGGTTCTGACGGGTTCTGGAGAACCGGTAGCGGAAATTTTGAGTAGTTCAGAGAACCGGCAAATACCACTTCTGGCTGGCCCCAGAGTAGGGTGGGAATGGAGATTTTTCAATATCCTTCCCCCGGGAGTGGGGTGGGAATGGAGATTTTGCAGTATCCTTCCCCTGGAGTGGGATGGGAATGGAGATTTTGCAGTATCCTTTCCCTGCCACACCCACAGAACTGGTAGTAAAAAAAATTGGATTTCATCACTGTCTAAGTCTCTAGCCAATCCTCAGAGCTGCAGAAGAAAACAGAAAAGAAAACAAATCAAGATTTGCCAGACAAGTTGTAATTACTTTTTAAAGGCTAATAATCTTCTTTCTTAACAAATCATGATTAAAACAAATTTAGTATCAGATATGAAGCAATATTAATCTACATATGTTTAGCTACATATGTCTGACACCTACTTGGCAAGTCCACATCATGTCTATTTAGAGAGCTGGAATTTACTTTTCATAACGTGGGATATGAATAAACAAATTTATAGACAAAATTCCGTAACAGATAGAAAACTACAAATGTGAAAGTGTCTAATATTTGTATTAAATAATACCTATTATGGAGCTACCTTAACCTATTGTAAATTATGAATATATGTATGCTTAGAGATTTAGCCTTACTTCCAATATAGAGGTTCTGTTTATGAAGCTATCGTAACCAGTCCTTATCAGGACTTTTTTATTTAGAAATAAAAGAGCA